TTTTTTTTGAGAGAGAGAGAGAGATTGACTATATATGATCTTTTACAAAGGGGTCAAAAACATAAAAAGTGCATATTGGAGGAAAGATACCTTCTTTAATAAATGGTACCTGGAAAACCAGCTATTCACTTGGAAAAGATTGAATATAGACCCTTATCTCTCACCATGCACTAAAATAAAATAGATCTAATTGGGTGTAGTAGTACATGACTATAATCACAACACTCAGAGGAGGCTGAAGCAGGAGGATCTCTGAGTTCAATGCCAGCCTGAACTACAAAGCAAGACCCTACAATTACTTATTTATTTATTTAATGTATTTTGTACAGAGTCTACAGGGTCTCACTATACAGCTCGAATTTCTAGTGGCCCTTCTGTCTGTAGCCTCCTAGCACTGGGATTATAGGTGTGCACCACACTGCTCAGTCTCAATCACCAGCTCAGGGCGCCTTGGGAGGGGGGCCAGCAGGCACCTGGGGATCAAACCCTGGTCCCTGCACCTGCCTAGACAGGTGCTTTAGTCTGCCGAGATATCTGATTGGCCCAAGAACCTGTTCCAAAAAAAAGGAGGGAAAAGAAAATGCATCAAAAACTAAATATTAAACAGAAAACACTTAAACGTCTGGAATATAAAATACTCTCAAGGCACAGACAAGGACTTTCTGAACAGAACCCTGGTTGTACAGGAAACAGTACCAGGAATCAACGAATGTGATTTTATCAAATTAAGAAGCTTCTTTTTTTGTTTTGTTTTTTTGAAACAAGATTTAGCTCTGTGAAATTCAGGCTGGTCTAGAACTCAGTATATAGCCCAGGTTGGCCTCAAACTCATGACCAACAAGTGTGGATGGACACAGGCATGTGCTACCATACTTGGCACTAAAAAATTAAAGCTTCTGCACAGTAAAAGAAACAACTAACTGACTGAAGAGACAACCTATCAAAAGGAAACAAAATTTTGTCAGCTAGTACTCAGAGAACTAATATCTAGAACATAAAGAACCAGAAGAAAAAAATAGACCCCCAAAATAAAACCCAGTCAAAACAAGAGGCAAGTAAAATGGACATTTCACATTAGTACAAATGGCCAAGAAACATATCAAAAAATGTTCAACTGTTGGCCATTAGAGAACTGCAAATTAAAACAACACTAAGATTCTATCTTACGTACAGCAATTAACCACTAAGAAGAATGTATGCAGTGTGTTAGTTACTGAAATTGTCCTAGCGATTTGATTTGAAACTGTCTCATTGCTATTTATCAATAAAATTATGAAAAAAATAAAATAAAACAAATTCAAAAAAAAAGATTCTATCTTACTCTAGACGGAACAGGCATCATCAAAAAATCAAACAATAACAAATGCTAGAAAGGATTTTTGGGAAAAAGAACTGTTCTACCTTGTTGGCAGTGATATAAATTACTACAATCCCTATGGAAATCAGTGTGGAGACTCCACAAAAAATTAAAACTAGAAATTCCATTTGACCCGCCTCTTCCCCTTCTATATATTCCTAAAGAGTTAAAGACATCATACTATAGTGACAGATGCCTATCATGCTTATAGCAGCACAATTAATAATAAACAGCTCAATCTTGAAAGCAAATGAGGGGATAAAATGTAGTATTTATACACAATTAGAATACCATTGTCATTAAGAAAAGATAAACTTGAGTCATTTGTAGAAAAATGGATGAACCTTGAGATCATGATATTGAGTAAAATAAATAAGACATAAAAGCATAAATAACATGGTTTCTCTTATATGAGAAACATAAAATATTACATAAATAAGCAAAATAAAAGACAGACAGTGGGGAGATAAATCTTTCTCGAATGGGAAGGGACAGAGATGAAGGGAAGGAAAGGGGTTGAAAAAAGAATTAATTAATATTACGCACATGATCAACTCCACATTAGGAATGCAGGTATGCAATGAAAACATGTATTGAACAGCAACAAAAAAAACATTAAAGGCGACTATCTCTGGGGAATGATACAAAAGAAATTAATGTAACTTCTTTTTTTGTTTGGCAGAACCAGAGATTGAACTCAGGCCGTTGAACTTGCCAGGGAAGCACTTATTGTACTGAGCCATCTCCTTGTCCCCAAATGAAGGAAGGAAAAGTTTCTTTTTTTTTTTTTCCAGGAACCGGGGATTGAACTCAGGACCCTGCGCTTGCCAGGCAAGCGCTTATTCTACCAAGCTATTTCCCCAGCCCCAAAACTCTTTGTATTATACATTTTCTATATTTGCAATAAAATCATATATTAATTTGTCATGAACAGAAAAATTAAAATCGGGGCTGGTGAGATGGCTCAGTGGTCTAAAGCACCTACTTAGAACAAGCTTAGCAAAGCACAGGGACCTCGGTTCAATCCCCCAGCACCACATGCCAGACAGCCCAGCCCCCTGGTGGGCTGAGCTGGCCACACACACACACACACACACACACACACACACACAAATAAATAAAATTAAAAAAAAAAAAAAAGAAAAATTAAAATCAACTTGCCATGGTGGTGCACATTTTAATCTCAGTTACTTGAGAGGATGAGGTAGGAAGAGTATAAATTTCAGGGCAATGAGACTTTCATTGCTTTTTTTTTTTTAAATAAGGGTCTACAGGGTCTTAGGGTCTCACTACGCAGATCGGACTTTTAGCAATCCGCCTGTGTTCAGCCTCTCAAACAACTGGGATTAGGGGCATACGCCACCACACCCAGTCTCAATCACCTTCTCAGGGTTCCTGGGGGGCGGGGCAGGCACAGCATACCAGGGATGGAACCTCGGCCAAGTCTGCCTAAGCAGGCGCTTTAATTTGCTGAGTTATTTAGCCAGCCCTTTTCTTCTTTTTCTTTTTTTTATTTTGCGGAACCAGGTATTGAACTCAGGCCCTTGCACTTGCCAGAGAAGTGCTTATTCCACGGAACCATCTCCCCAGTGACCCCCCCCCCTTTTTTTGAGACATGGTCTTGTTATGTAGTTCAGGGAGGCCTTGAACTCTCTATGTAACCTAGGCTGGCTTTAAACATATGGCAATCTTCCTGCCTCAGCCTCCTGAGTGCTGGGGTTATAGGTATGCAAAACCACGCCCAGATCTTCCTTTTTTTGGGGGGGTGGGTACCAGGGATTGAACTCAAGACCTTGAGCTTGCAAGGCAGGTGCTTATGCTGCTAAGGTACCTTGACAGGTTTTTTTTTTTTTTTTTTTTTTTTTTTTTTTTTTAGGGAAGGGTCTACAGGGTGCTCAGGGTCTCACTACTAGATTGGACTCCTAGTGATCCACCTGTTTACAGCCTCCCAAGAGCTGGGATTACAGGCATGCCACCACACCCAGTCTCAATCACTATCTCATCGTATGGGGAGGGGAGAGCGGGGCCAGCACAGCAGACCAGGGGATCAAACTCTCAGATCTTGTGCCTGCTTGTACACGCTTTAATCTGCTGAGCTATTTGGCCTGCCCAAGGTCTTTCTTATTTTAAGATAAAAAATTAAAAAGTCTGGGGATCTATGTCATTGGTACAATGCTTCCTTGGCATGTACAAGCCCCTCGGCTAAATCCCTACTACAAAGAAAAAAAAAAAAAAGAAATCATTTTAGAGCAATTTCAAATTCAAACTACTCTAAGCTTAATTATTTGCTTTAAAAAAAAAAATAGACATACATGCCTAGATATCTACAGACCACTCTGGAGGGATAACTAAGAAGCTGGTAATAACGTGCTTCTAAGAACTGGTTGACTTTCTTTTCATACCAGAAACTGAACTCAGGACCTTGTGCTTGCCAGGTAGGTGCTTGTGCCACTGAGTTATATTCTTGTCCTGAAATTTACTTTTTATTTTACATTAGTTTTGGGAGGTCAGTAATGGGGTTATCAAACCTAGGGTGACACCAGTATTCATGCCCAACCCTTTTAACTTTCATGTTGGTTCCTTTCCATATGAGAAAAACAAACCAACAATCCAGACTGTAGGCCTCAGTTTTTCTTTTTTCAGGAGTCAGGGAGGTATTGGGCACTGAACCCAGGACCTCAGGCTTCCTGGGCAAGCAATCTATTACTGAACTACAGCCTCAGCCCTCAACTAATATTCCACATCCCCAACACCAGGCCCAGCTGTCCTTTATTAATTTAAGTTTCTGAGACAGAGTCCGGCTAAATTCTAAGTTGCCCCTCAGCCTCCCATGGTGCTGAGATTACAGGCATGCACCACCACACTAGGCTTCAGTTTATATTCTAATGCACACATTACAAATAGAAAATAAACTCTTCAAACACTTCACAGATTTACTTACAGCACTCAACAGGTATAGAAGCTATCTGTAGAGAAAGAACTTTTCCACTGGGCTGTGGGATGTGTACACGAAATACAAGTCGTACTCTAGTATTCTTTCTGCCAATATCAGTTTCTCCTTTTCGAAGTTCTATATCAGAATTGCGGAGTTTCAAAATACCTGCACAGTCAATACTAATGAGAAAAACACACAAATTTTATTTCTTGATTGATAATCAATGGTTCTAAACAATTACAAAGATATACATTGTCAAGTTTGTTAGGGAAGAACTACCCTACCCAAAAATCAGATAAAAAAAGATATGTACGGTTTTCTTAAAACACAAAATGAAAAAAATAAAGTAAAATGAAAAAAACAAACAAAAAAGAAAAACAAAAAGGCAAAAAATACCCTCACAAGATATTCATGTAAAGTAATGAAGTACAACTTAAATTCTCCTTAAACTACAAGTATATTGAGCATGGTAGTGCATGCTACTGTGAGTTCAAGGCCAGCCTACACTATACAGTAAGTTCAAGGCCAGCCTGACTGACAGTGAGAGCCTGTCTCAAAATGATTTTGGGAGAGGGAGTCAATTATCACTTTTTAGATCAGACTATCACACTGCCACAAAGTTTTTGTTACATTGTAGTACTAGGGATTTAACCAAGGGCCTTGCCATTATATCTCTAGCTCTTTTATTTTAAGTTGCCTAGATACTCTTTAGTTTATAATTCTCCTGCAATAGCCTCCTGAAGAGCTGGCAAATGTACACTACACAAATGGCTACATTCATCACTTTTCTTTTTTGAGACAAGGTCTCACTGCATAGTTCAGGCTGGCCTTGAGTTCCCTATGTAGCCCAGGCTATCTTCAAACTCCCCACAATCCTCCTGCTTCACCCTCCCCAGTGCTGGGATTACAAGTACGTACCACTACGGCTAACAATGGTATTTCTGAAGTTTTATCTTTTCTGGTCTGATCCAAGCAAGCAGCAAATGTTAAGTATATTTGGAGAAGTGACATAAAATCATGACTGCTAGCTCTGCTCTATGTGCTGGCATATGGTAGATGGAGGGGACATGTATGTTCAAATTGTATTGTTTTAGTTTTTCACACCATTTTGCATTTGAGCCACACTATATTAGCCACTGTCATTCTCTATTTTGTTATGAAATTTCTATTTTTTCTCTTCTTTCCTATTTTTTCATAGAAGCAGAATGCTTTTCTTTTTTCTTTCTTTTTCTTTGTTTTTGCAAAACCAGGGAATGAACTCAGGCCCTTGTGCTTGCCAGGGAAGCACTTATTCTACTGAGCCATCTCCCTGGCCCAGCTTTTCTTTGTTAATATGATTAATATGTACTTGGATTACAATAAAATAAAGTTTTCATAGAAATTCATGTACTCTTAACATTTTCTGAAAAATAAGATCTAGCTGGAAGTAAAATTTACCTGTCTTACAGAGTAGCCACTGAGCAAGAGAATGACACAAATAAGGCAAGTAGAGATCAACTGGCATTTTTAAAAAAAAATTTTATTTATTTATGTATTTATTTTTGTGTGCGTGTGTGGCCAGCTCAGCCCACCAGGGGGCGGGGCTGGCTGGCATGTGGTGCTGGGGGATTGAACCACCGTCCCTGTGCTTTGCTAAGCTTGTTCTAAGTAGGTGCT